ACTGGTGCAGAGAGAAGAGTCAGGAACTGCTAATGAATGTACCAGCTGTGTGTGGAAAATCAGCCAAGCTTGGGCTTTGGGCTTTCATTTCTCTGCGGAGATCCTTATTCTAGACTGCCCGTGAGAAACATGAGGATGGCTTCAACCACAACATGAATAAAGAACAAAGGTAACAAAGGTGAGGCTATCCCGGAATATTAGTTGAAAATGAACGCTTGTCTTGAGGAAAAGCAGCTATTATTCTGTTACCACTTTCTGATTTGGTAACAATTTAAATACAGGCAAAACCCTTCTCCTCTTCTTAGGACCTGAGACTTTTTAATTCCACTTTCTTAGATTTGAGGACTGGAAAGTTTGGTTACTTTTCTAAAGGTAGGTTTCCTGTTTTTCTCTCTTTCTCTGTCTCTCTCTTCTCTCTCTGTGTCTATCTCTCTGTCTCTGTCTCTTTTCCTCCCTCTCTTCCCCATTCCCCATCCTCCCTCCCTAAACCCCACCTTCCTTCTTATCTCTCCTTCTCTTTTTTCTCTTCCTCCTTTTTTTCCTCTATACTTATTGAGGTGTAATTGACTAAATTATAATATATTTAAGGTGTACAACATGATGATTGGCTATACATAGACATTGTGAAGCGATTCCCACCATCAAGTTAATTAACACATCCATTACTTTACATATTTACCTTTCTTTTGGAGAGCCCCCTTAAATTCTACTCTCTTAGCAAATTTCAATTATACGATACAGTCTTATCAACTGTAGTCATCATGTTATACATTAGATCTTCAGACCTTACTCATCTTATAACTGAAAGTTGTGCCCTTTTACCAGCCTCTCCTTAGTTAGTTCCTCGCACCATACCAGCCCCCACCAGACCCTAGCAACCACAATTCTACTCTCCCTGTTTCTATGAGTTCAATTTTTATTATTATTTTTTATGTTCCACAGCTAAGTGATACCATGCAATATTTGTTTTTCTCTGTCTGGCTTATTTCACTGAGCCTAATGCCCTCCAGTTTTATCCATGACACAAATGGCAAAATTTCCCTTTTTTTAACTGCTGAAAAATACTCAATTATATATATATGTCACATATTCCTTATCCATTCATAGGTTGGCTGACACTTGGGCTGTTTCCCCACCTTGGCGATTGTGAATAATGCTGCAGCTGACATGGGAGCACAGAGATCTCTTTGAGATAGTGATTTTGTTTCCTTTGGAGATATACCCAGACATGAAATTGCTGGATCATATGGTAGTTCTATTTTTAATTTCTTGAGGAACGCCATACTGTTTTCCATTGTGGCCACACCAGTTTGCATTCCCACCAGCAGTGTGCAAGCATTCTCTTTTCTCTGTGTTCTCGATTTGCCTTTCCCTGATGATGATAGTGATGTTACCCACCTTTTAATGTACCTGTTGGCCATTTGCATGCCTTCTTTGGAAAAATGTCTTTTCAAGTCCTTTGCCCATTTTTTAACTGGGTTGTTAGTGGTTTTTGTTTTGTTCTGTTTTGCCATTGAATTATATGAGTTTCTTATATATTTTGGATATTAACCCCTTATTGGATATGTGGTTTGCAAATATTTCCTCCCATTCCCTAGCTTACCTTTCCTTTTGCTGATGGTTTCTTTTGATGTGCAGAAGCTTTTTAGTTTGATATAGTCCCACATGTTTATTTTTGCTTTGGTTGCCTTTGTTTTGGTTTCAACACCCCCAAAAATATTGCCAAGATCAATGTCATGGAGTTTACCAATTGGTTTCTTCTAGGAGTTCTATGGTTTAAGGTCTTACATTCAAGTCTTGAATCCATTTTGATTCAAACACATCTATTTTTGTGTATGGTATAAGATAAGGGTTTAGTTTCATTTCTTCCCTTTTTTAAAAAAGATTTTATTTATTTGAGAGAGAGAGAGAGAGCGCACAAGAGTGCAAAACCTGGGGGAGAGGCAGATGGAGAGGGGAAGGCAGACTCCCTGCTTAGCAGGGAGCCCGATGTCGGGCTTGATCCCAGGACCCTGGGATCATGACCTGAGCTGAAAGCAGGAGCTTAACCAACAAGCCACCCAGGGGCCCCTTCTTCTTCCTTTTTAATGCTGCAAATGGCACTAGAATGGATCAAAATTGTACTGTGTATGAACTTAGGGATGACTGCAATCTTGAGTATGTCCATAGCCATGTGCATAAGTGAAGTGAAAAATATGATTCATCCTTTGGGCAGCTCTCCCGCACATTCAGTTCTATAATAATGCTAGCAACTGTTTATTGAGCACTTAGTATGCACAAAGCACCATACTAAGGGCTTTGCATATACTTTCTCATTTAGTGCAATTACTACAACTGGGGAGAAGCGGATCATCTCTTTTGTGCATTCCAGTAATTCTTTATTAATGGATTTCTTCATAGATAGGATTATGCCACAGTGCCTAGCCTAAACCTACATGGTGATTGTTGCCAAGGACAAAGTTGTTTCAGTGCATAAATATTATTCTTATTCTAGAGGAGAGAGAGAAAATATATTTTTCAGAACAGTGAGTCCATGTCCATTTTGGGGAAGTTTGCTCACAAGGGACTTGGATGCCTCAAAGTAGATGAACTTACATGCTCCCAAAGTTTTAGTCTTGGGCAAGGTACTCGGTCCATTGTGCTCTAATTTCCTCACTTGTAAAATGAGATTTAACGGGTATAGGTGAGGGGCTTAGAATAGTGCGTGGCATATTGTAAACATACAATGAGTGTTAGCTATTATCATTGTTGTCATTATTAAATAGTCACAGCAACACACTGATGGAGATATTTTTATCTCCATTTTACAGATGGGGAAACTAAGGCAAAAGGATTTAACAACCCTCCCAAGGTGATACAGCCAGTCAGTATTTGGAGACAAGAATTCTCACCCTACGTCACTCTCACTGCAGAGCTTACAACTAGAATTTGATGTTGCCACTCATGATAGGAAGTAAGGCCTGGTCCTGGTTGTAGAGAATATAATTTCTTTCTCCTATAGGAAACGTGAGCTGTGAAACAAGCACAAAATGTCCTGAAGAGTGGACACACGTCATACGAGAAGCATTTTCGGTCCCTCTGGTAGAGAGGGAGGGCTTAATTACCATGTGCCACTGCTGTTAACCTCTGCAAATAAGTCTAATTATCACAGATTAATGAACAGAGCTTAGGCACATCTAAAGGGGCTTTGCTGAGGGGTTTTCATTTCTGCATTTCATTATCTCCATAAACGCTGTTGTTCCCCATGCACATGGTTATGGAACTTCTATTATTTTTTTAGCTGCGCTCTGTGGAATATCAACAACAGTGCCTGAGAAATAGCTCAGGGCAGGGACCGCTTTCCAGGAAATCTTCAGGAAGCCTGCAAGTTGGGTGACTGCTGCTTGGCTGTTTACCGATGCATCATGCCACATTGGTTCATAGGGAATAAGGCTTAGACGGTTGCCAAGGAAACAGGCTAAGATTTTTGAAATATCTGAAACCACAGTGAAATTTCCAGGAAAAATCAATGTCTTAGTCAAGAGTCAGGTTAAGCCTTCTCTGCATCAGGGTGAGTAGCAACAATGCAAATAGAGCTTGAAAGATTCGTTCCCGTCTGCACCATGTTTTAAAATCGCACACCCGTGTTGTGATCCTCAGAGAATGTTTCTCTATGAATAGAAGTAACCATGTTGGCTATACTCATGCTGGGAAGTGGCCATCCTGCTGGTCCTTAGAGCAGGGCTGAGCCTGGAAGCCATCTTTGAATGTCCCTGTGAGCTCAGAGAGTCCCTGGTGAGGACCTTGGAAATCCCAATGTCATATCGTGGCAAGAGAGCAAGCTGGCAGTTAGCCAAGGGCTTCAGCTCTTGGTCTCAGAGGCTGAGACCTAAGGAAGATCTTGGGCACAATCCACCAGACACGTTTCATTAATAAATGATTAGATTTGCAAATCTTGTCAGTAGAGATTGCTATCACAGAATTAATGAAATAAATAATGAAACATTTCCAGTGTTTCTGGCTGGCTTTCAGAGCAGAGTAGATCTCTGCCTTTGTTGCAATTTATGGCTGTCTCTTTGATCAACTCCTGGGGAGTTCAAGGAATGATTTTCCTGCTTCCAACACCCGCCTTTGGCTTTTAGGTTTGCCTTTTTTTTTTTTTAACTTGACTTTTCATATCATTTTGTACTTCAAACACAAAGGTTCCCCAGGATAATTTCAGATAAAGAAACCCAACGGGGTGAATAATCTGCAGTGAAGAAAATCTGAATCGTACTTGAAGAAACAACCCATTTGACACTGGGTTAGGAAAGGGGTAGGGGAGGGATTTTGCTTACAAATGAACACAAAAAAGTTCACAGTTTTATTTGAATGTCTCCATTTTGCACAGTCTAAAGCCAAGAGCATTTCCTGATCCAGAAGCAAACTAAGATGCCACCCAGTATGGATTACCCAGCAGGCATACAAAGCATATGTTCGGGACATTAACAATGCTGGGGTAGCTCACATTTCTTTTATTAAAAAAAAACAAAACAAAACAGATTTTTTTCATATCCCCCCAAAAAAGTACCAAAATAGTCATGGAGAAATCAGATCCTTATTGGGTTTCTTTATGCTTGTTTTCAGACTTAGTGTCATTTTGATGTGAATTCCCATTCAGGATTAGGAGGGGATGGAGCTCCAACACCTATTCACCATATGGGAACTTTAAACGGTTTCCTGGGATGAGATTTCATCCTTGACTCACACCAGTCATAAGATGATACAGCCATTATGTCTACCTGTGACACTTTGGGTAATCTTTTCGAGGTTGATACTATATTATACTAATATTGATACTATAAATAGATTTTCAGTTCTCTCCCTCTGCAAACCCACCCAGCACATTAATGGGCACATACACTCACTGCTTCTTTGAAATAACACTGAGTCCAAAGGTTTGGGTCCTGATGGATTGCTTGCTCTTGGACTTATCTTCTTGAGAGCTGCCATTGTGCTCCTTTTTAGTTTTTTTTTTTTTTTTTTTGACTGTCCTAAATTGTTTGTTAGGTAAAATTTTTACAAACATTACTTATATTAGCGGTAACGGTGGAGCTGGAGAGTATTGCGTCTTCTCCATGCCGCACGGCGAGAACCACCAATAGTGTGGTGGAACTTGTGACCCTTTCCAAGGCCACGGCTCTTGAGGCCTGCAGATGTAAGCCCTCGCATTTCCCTGTGCTTGTGGACTGGTTTGGTGATCCACTGGGTGTCAGGATTTCTTCTGAGAGCTTTATGGAATGGATCAATGAGGATGACCTCAAAGAATTTGTACGTGGAATCTTCACCAACCCAGTAAGAATTCAAGACTCTCAGAGCCCCACAGTGGCGCCCAGCTCGCTCCTCTGCAACAGACTGAAGGCTTCGGGCAAACTTTAGCTGGTTAACACCATGATGGACAGGCTTGCCGTAGGTAGCACCCTTAGGAACTGGGCGTTTGCGACCGCCACGACGCACACGAATCCGATATATGACATAACCTTGCTTGGCCTTGTACCCCAGCCTGCGCGCTTTATCGGGCCGGGTTGGGCGGGGAGCCCTGTGGAGCGCAGACAGCTGGCGATACTGTCAACAGCGCACCCTGAGAAGAAAGCGCATTACATCGGACTGCTTCTTCCTCCATAGCTCCTGGATGTACTGGTAAGCACCCATCTTGGCCTACCTTTGAGCTGATGGCTGCCGCCGGACGGAAAGGCCTCCTTTTTAGTTTTTGCCATTGGGAAAGTTACAATGGAACGAAGTTCAGATCCATCCCATTTTTAAAGATCCAATTTAGAATGTACCTTTGAGTATCTTTATCTTTTCCAGTTTCATCCTGTGGCATGGCAATACCATAGGCAAAACCCACTGGACATTTCCTGTCTACGTGGCTTAGATAATTTCTTCTGTAACCAGATACTTCTCTGTAGAGAAAACTTTGAAAAATTAGTGAGTTGCTCTTTTTGATAATTCAAAAAGAGATTCAGTTGAGGAAACAAAATTAATACTAAAATTATAAGGATCAGAACTAAACAAGCAATAAAAACTTCCCTTTGGGCTCATAGAGGGGGGTAAGGGCCTGCCTATAGGGGCATAATTATTCTTATGCTATAGTTTTGTGATACATCTTTTGACGTATCTCCCACAGTTGGCCAGTTGTTTCATGGGACTATAAACACAGAGTTGGTCCCACTCTCCAAGATGAGAATTAGATTTTATTGTGATCAAATTATTTCTGCATTTTTTTGATTCTAAGATCACCATTTTTTCATAATTTCACATGATTTCTGAAATCAGGAGGCATATCAAAATCATCATCAGCCTGGCCGCAGCTGTGATGTGGCTGTCAATACTATGTACCTGGGCATTAATATTTTCAGAATGGGTTCCAGCTATTGCAAAGGCAGGCCTGGAGGCAATAAGAAGCATTGCATCACCAACACTCTTCAAGGCACAGAGCATGATGTTGGGCAGAAAAACGTGGACATTGATGACAGTGGGTCAGAAACAAAATAGAAACCACAGCTTGCAAAACTGTGGTGTGATTGGACAAGCAGATAAATTATGCAAACCATGAGATGCACAGCAAACCAAGTAGGAAGTGTTTTAACACCAGCTCGTTCTGACCCATTCGTGCCAGGATAAGATCACTGGCTTCCAGCACCTCACCTCATTACAAACTCTGACCTATTCCCGCTCACTTATTACCTTCTCTCCCAAAGCACCCTACAACTACTGAGGACTTCCCTGACTCCCCTTTTGAAAACACTGCTGAGACTCTTTCAAGGTGGTGGTTTCTCTTGCTCAGCAAGTTTAATAAACCCAGTTTTGTGTGATCAGCAGTGTTCCAGGGTGGTCTTGGTACAGAGCTCTGATAATTCAAAAAGAGATTCGGTAGAATCAGGCTCTAAGGCTGAAAAGTTTTAGGAATCCATTAAAGTATTTATTTAACTTACATTTCCCTTTTAATGTATGTACAAGAGGGATATATGATAAAATACATATCTAATAAGTTTCAAAGAACTTTTGAAATGGTATAAAACGAAAAACTGCAAGGAAGAATTGTAATTTATTGGCATCAATTTTTCTTTCCTAGTGGCACATAAAATAATGGTGTATTGTACAATGGATGGCATTTTGCTTTTGATAAAATATGGTAATAATAGCTAGCTAACTTTTACCGGACATTTCTCATGAGCCATGCACTGTGCTAAGTGCTCTACCTGCATGAACTCATTTAATTCTCACAGTATTGCTAGCAAGTAGGTCATATGATTACCCTCATTTTCTAGATATATAAACTGAGGTATGGAGATGGTCCATGGCTGCCTTGAAATAGATAACTAATTGGTGGAGGAGTTAGGGCTCAGATCCAGGTAATGTGCCTCGGCTGGGCTAGAATAGGAGGGGAGAAACGGGACACGCAGCACTATTTTCTTAAAAGTGGCAGAAAGCATTAATTAGAATGATAGTACTTGCACAAGGCATGTACTAAATTCTGGGATTTGGGCTTTTAACGGTAATACATTAACCAGTTCTTTGGTGCTCCTGGAAGCAAAATTGTTTCCCTTGGGTATTTCAGAAAAGGTGCATTCAGAACCTAAAATATTTGCCAGTTTATTTCTTCCAAAAAAGAGAGTTCCTTGGTGTTCAGAGCTATATATCAGGGTTAAAAAACAAGCAACCAAATAAAAACAAACCCAGCACTAGGGTCATCCATTTAAGTCACTACTTGACAGCTGTTCTGGGAATGGCTGTTGCCACGGGTTACTGCAGAGCACTCAGCATCTCAGCCTTGCCCATCACTTCCAGGCCAGGCTCCTGTCTCTCCGGAGAGATGCCCCTTCCCTCCTTTCCCCACCCCACCCCCACCATGGCAGTTCATATTAAAGATTGTTTTTTTACCTTTGAAAGAGAAATGAAATAATAATATGCTGAAAATTCCCTAGATGTTGCCTAGGGTATTCTCTGTCTTTGATGCTTTTGTTGCCCTGTTTTTCCTTGTAGATCACAGCATCAGCACTGTTTTTTCTATAAACCTCAACACAGGGTTCCAACCTGCTGCCTTCTGCAGGTGGAACCACAATCAGGCATTGTCCATCAGTGAATGTACCAACCTAGATGTCACTCAATTAATATGTTCTTAATTGGATTCTTCAGATAGTTGGTCATGACAGTGTATTTTCAGGACTTTTGTTGTCTTTGTTCTTGTTTTTTTTTTTTTTTCTCTTTCAGACCCTCCCCTCTTATCCTGTCAATGTATTCACATATCCTTTGGACCAGGAGATTTGACCAAGATGCACTGATTTTCCTTCTACCTCCTACTTCTTATCCTTTACACACTGAAGGGTTCAGAAATCCATTAAAATACCATCTCATCCCTATTTAGGAAAGGGGAACTAAAGCAGCACAACTTACTTAGGTAGTGCTATTTACTGGAAACATGTTTGCAAAATACCAGCATTACATAGCATCTACTAGGCTAATTATATTCCATGTTAAGGTCACTAACGCCTTCAAAATCATGAAACATATTTGTCCTCTATGACACTTACAAAAAAAGATAATTTGTGGGAAGTACTTTGAGATTCTTGTAAGAGATTTGGGATATTAACATTCCTTTGTTTCAGGTATTGGATGATGTTTAAGAACCGGAGCTTCCACTGATGCTTTGAGTCAAATCAAGGCTCATTAAATATGCTGTTGGCTTCTCTGACATTTTATAAAAAGGAATTTGCTACCCATTACACTTTTTTTCCTTTGCCTTTTCTTCCCATCACCTGCTCCCCAACCATTACTTTCTAGTCAACACATGCCTCTTTTCTATGGTTTGCTTATAGATTATTAAGAAAAAAGATGTAAACTCACAGGGAGGATTAAGGTAGACACAGCTGGTGTCAACGAAAACAGAGAGAGATGAAAGAGTATTGAGCCCGTCTGAATGGACAGCCCATGGGGCTTTCTTGTGACTCATCCTTGACCTTTACCCTCCCAAATCATGCCTGAGGCAAGTAAACAGCTTTTCAAAGCAGACTACCTTCTGGGACCCTTCGTACATTTTCATTTTAATCTCTTTGCAAAGTGGTCAAAAATAAATGTCCCTATGAAGAGAAATACTACTGACAAAAGTGGAATTTGAAATGACACAGAATCACTCTGTTACCTATCACACAGAGGGTCCCTAAACTGCTTAGCGGTTTATTCCAAATGAAAAGGAAAGGAAACAGTCTTCAGTGAGTGTTTTAAACATCTCTGTATGATTCAAAATGGTTACATGGACCTTTGAAAATATTGCCTGGAGACATTATGGGTGATTTAAGTTTTTCTTTGTATTTTGCAGATTATCTATAATGAGTAGGCATTACTTCTGTAATCCACAAAAAGACTTTCAACAGAAATGGAATTACAGTACAGATTTTTAAAATATGAGAATACTACCCAGTGAATTATTTTTATAAATGACTGGAATAAAGAAAACTATTTAATAATGTAGATAAAGTATCATATGCCGAAGATATATTTTCTGATATAAAAGGCAAGTTAAAGGTGGACTGAAATGTTTCTTAGGAACCAGGTAAATATTATCTCCCAGACCAAACATCTACTCTCCCTTTGTGTATCACTCAGCTCAAAGAGAAAAGTGGAAATGTTTCTACCTATCATTGTCATTTGACACACTTAGTTGTGTGAAAGGAAACACAAGACCCCCAAATCATTTAACTTATGAGATCTCAGTCGCTGCCTGATGCATGGTAACAAATGGGGCTTCTGGAACAGGGCACACCGGAGTGATGTGTGGACTGAGGTCTGCAATCATCGCTCCATCTCACTTCCAGTGACTTTTTTTTTTTTGGTCTGACAGTACCACTTTATTGAGGTCCCGATGTGGTAAATATTGAAAATGTGCATAAGGTAGCTAGCTGATTCTCAGGGTCAATACACAGAGACGAGGAAATTGTCCTGTTCTCCTGTTTTGGGAGAATGACTTCAAACACTCATGTATCCAGTGAAGTACATATTGGAAGGGAAAACGTACCCAAACAAAACAATAAAACTTAACTTCAGGTAAAGCAAACTGTTGAGACATCTAATAGAGAAATGAGTTCCAAGTGCTAGTTACACTAAATCCTAAACATCCAGCTTTTTACAGACTCACAAATCAAATTGCTTTATGGTTAGAGGAGCATTTAATACAGTGTGACCAGTTTAAAGTTAACATTTTGTATTCAGGATGATTAATGACACCATATTGTATTTCAATTACTACAAGATACTTCTCTGTAATAAACGATGGCAATAATATTCACATTAAGTCAATAAAAAGCATCTTCAAAGTGTGATGTATAAGTGCCATTATTACAGTATAAGTTGATCACAACATCCAATGAATTATCAACAGTGTAACAGGAAATCTCTATACCAAAGCATATATTTTCATCTCAGTGCACAGGGACTTTGGCAGAGCACCCTCATTAGTATTAATAGTAGTCAAATGAAAGTATTCACACACAATAGCAAGGGAACTACTCCTTCTCCCCCCAGCTTTCTTATACTCCATTCTCTACGAACTGCATTTTTGTGGGTTCTAGGATGAGAAACCAACTTCTCAGAGCATTCGAGTCCAAAGGGAAAAGATGTGGCAAGTGACTTCATGATTTATGTTCTAGAAAGCCAATAGTTGGGGAAAACAAGTCCCAAACAACAGGTGTTTC